CCTCTTCCTTCCGAACGCTTGCCGCGTGCTCGATTTCAACCGAGCGTCGTCCGGCATCTCGAGAACTCGAAGCGAAACAAAACAAAACACGCGCGACTTCGTAGGAAAGCGAACCAACAATGTTCAACGCAAGCGCGCAAACGGGAACTAAAACGTGCGCTCGATAACGGAAGAAACAAAGCAGACAGGCCTAGACGGGCGGAGATGGGCCCAGGAGCAGACGACGCACCTCTCGCCAGCGCGGGAACGGAAAGGAGGAAAGGAGAAAAAGAGCGGAGGGGCGCGTTTAGGCCAATAGCAGGGGCGCTAAGCGCCGCGCGTGCTCTGACGTACGGGCACCTTGCTAGCCGGCCAATGAGCGATCGCAATTGGGGCCTTCGAAACCTGCGGAATGCGGACGTTTCCCGATGTTGTCGCGATAACGAATGGCATGGGGACGTGGGGAAAATAAGCGGCTTTCCAACAAGACCAAGATGGCCGCGATCCGACGAGCGATCGCGAAACGCGCGGGGCGCGAAGTTCCACTTGTTTTCATTGAACTCGCTGTGTTAGGGCTCTGCGGGGACATCGTAAATATCATTTTTTTCATGCTTAGACATTGAATTCGACATTGAAACTTTGCAGGCAGGTACCTTAGACTACAATTAATCCAAATATGTGAATTTTGAAAAACGTGAAATTTCGCGTTTTTTTACCATTTTAAGACCCGCGTCTCCCCTTAAGGGGAGACACTACCCAGAATAGTCAACTTTTGAACCCTTTGCTTAAAATGAATAAAATTTACAGGGTACACTACTGGTCACAATAAAGGATGCTATGCAAAGTTTCAGCCCTGTAGATGAATTGTGAAGCAAGTTACAGTGGTTTGTATCAGCAGCATCCCATCATTGTTTAGTTTTCCTATCGTTGGATAACTAATGCAATCTCCAACATTTGTTTTCGCAATATATGTAGTCAAACGCCTGTGGAGTGCGGCCATAAAAATTTTTTTGCAAAAAGTAATTTATTTTTATAAAAATTATCTTCTGAAAAATTAATTTAATTTCTGGCCTTCCATGTCTTCGACAAAACATTAAAATATTTTCTAAAATATTTTCAAAAGTAAAAAAAAAATTCAATGGCCGCATTCCTTATTAAATTTCAGTCAAGAAAAGCGAAGAACGAGCTTTCCCTTTCGTCTTATTACGAAATGATAGGCTGACTAAAACAGAATTTATACAGAAAAAAGGGAACGGAGAAAAAAGCGTTTGAAGTTTCCACATCACTGTTGTTTCTTCAGCGGCTCTGAGAAATCACTAAAACTGTCCAGCAGCGTAGGTAGGACCCTCCTCTCGGAGGCGCTTCTGTTCGGAGGCTACTGCTTCCATCTTGCGTCGCTTGTGGGCAACTTTCGACGACTCCAGCGCGCTTGCTCGGGACCTGGCAAGTCGGTGCAGAGTTGCCTTGCCTGCCTGGGACTTGTGGTGACTTCCGGCCTCCATCTTCATTTCAAGCAGGGCCCTTTCAAAGCCCTTTGGTCCTAGATTATACTCTAGGACTGCAAGGGCTACTGCAGTCTCTACTGTCTGGAGAGAAGCAAACTCCGTCTTCGGACACCTCTTCCAGATGAGAGCGTTGAAGGACTCGTTGGCATTCTGTGTCTTCATGCGTGAGCATCTGGCCAACAAGTCCTTCTGTGCCAAGCGATTGTACACCGGCACAAGTTCCTTGGCCACTCCTTTGGAGAAGGCCGGCCGGTGAGGTTTGGCAACTGACGGCTTTCCAGCTGCTTGGAGTGCGAGGTGGCGGTTGTGGTGGCACCACGACTCTTCCCCTTTGGGGCACGCCATGTGTCTGGGCTCTTCATCGGTGGAATACATATGCAGCAGGGTTGCAAAGACCCCCCGCTGCATTGCTGTCACATCTGGGGCATTCTCCTTGAGGGCACTTGCATAGTAATTTGTCATTTTTTTCATTATGACGTTCGTCAGCTTTCCCCGTCCTCCCAGCCCTTTCTTCCCTTTCCTCAGTTTCTCCATTCCCGCATAGAGCCTCTTTACGACATGGTTGATGCAATCTTCTTTGCTCATATCCTTGTCATAGAGGTGCAGTGCAGAAACACGGTTGAAGGCTTTGGAGTCGCCGTCACAAAGCACGGTCACATACTGCAGCTTGTGTAGTTCCACCGACCGGCTGAAGATCAACTCTGCTGCGTGCACCTCCATGGCATTGGCAGATCCGTTGAAATTCTTCTGGCATTTGGACTCATGTTCTTGTAGCCACTCTTTGTACCCTTCGGAGCCCTCCTTCGGTCCAAGGCTGCAACCGTGGCAGTAGTTGCTGACCACCGCGTAGTCTAGAACTAGACCGGTGTCAAGTTCAATAACAGCACCAACGCCAAAATGAGACGTATGGCCTCGCTTGTGCCACGTCCCGTCATAACTGACGCAGACATCTTGCACCTGCTCCTCGTCATCCGACGTTCCCAACACCTTCCGCACCGTCTCCGCAGCCTCTGCCATCGCGTTAGCTGACGCTCGCGTGGTCGCGTCATGGACCTTCGTCGCGATCTTTTGGTACGATTTGAGGTGCATTGGCAGAGGGGCATTCAGTTCCGTAAAAAATTCGGTAAGCTTTGTGAAACCGATCCCGCAATTGCGCGCAGCAATTACGAGGCGCGCAGGAAGTTCGGTTTGTCTAGTGCTGTCAATGGTCGACGAGAGCGGCGCCGAAACAATTGCTTTACAAGTGGGGCACTCGACGACGAACATCAGATGAGCTCCGCTGCCATGTTCTTGAAGTTCCAAATCACCACCATGGCAAGTCGGGCACAGCAGAACTTTCACCAAGCTTCGCAGACAAGCCACATCCACCAAACGGTAGCTGGCCGCATCATCCCCGCAAGGCTCTCCAGAACTCTCGGCATCTTCGGTGCTCCCGTCGCTTCGGCTTGCCTCCTCCAGGAACCTTATCTTCCACTCAAAAGCGGTGAGCAAGTCCGACTCACAGAGCGTAGCACTTTCGGGTACTGCCGCCGCCACTGCTGCTGCGGCCTCGGATGGAACGGGCGATGATCTTGAAGACACGAGATCGTTGTCATCAGCGGCGGGTGCGCGCGTTGCGGCATTGCGTCCTCACGGTTTTCTAAATCGCGAGCGGCGACCGAAGCTTTGCCGCATTCGCGGCTTCATCAGCGGCATCTCCTCAAAACTATCGCCGAAAGGAAATCGAAGAAAACTCGCTGAAAAGTTCACAAAGTAGAGACCGACGAAGTGATAGAGTAGGCTTCTAAACAAGAACTAGCAGACAATGAGCGAGCTAGCCAAGCTAGAGAGCATGTGACGTACAGAGACCAATAGGAGCCAACAATTCATTAGTTCGGCCAATAAGAGTTCGCATAGCGTCTTTTAGCGTGAAAACACGTACATTCCGACGGGGTTCACGGACGTCTCCCAGGGCGCTTATTTACTTTTGAACGACGATTACTATCGGTGCAGAAAATAGAAGAGATAAGCTTTCCAACGAGGGTATGATCTTCTCGTAAGGCCTAGTGTGCGCGGAGCACCTCCGTGGTGAAAAACGTAAACATTGCAGCGCTCTGTGCGCGGGGCGCCGCTTCGCATCCTCCCGCGTTATCGGCGCGTCTAAAATATCACGTAGAAAAATAACTACGCAGCGGACACGAATGAAACTTCGTGGAGATACTCTGCAGAAGTTTGTGAGCCTAAAAATGGAATTTTTCAAAATTGACTTTTTAAAAAAAAAATTAGATTTTCACGGCCGTGTCCCCCCTTAAGCGCGTTCCCATGTGGCTTCAGTTTCGGTTCGCTCCCTTCCCCCCCCCCCCTGACCTGACCTGACCTTTTTTCTTTTTTTAAAAATGTAATTAAATGTATAAGCAATCGACGAAAACAATATTTTACCTCGTGAAGCCACTTTTTGATGTCAATTTTTGTTTTGTTTAGGCGTCTTGAATTTCGGTATGGCCCTTCACTGTTACAGAATGGCGAATCCATACGTCGTTCAACCTCGCGCTTCGTGGCAAACACCGAGATTAAAAATCGCTAATGTACCCTGTGCTCAAACACCGCAAAAACAAGAAAGTTACAGTTCCGAACAAAGGCCGAGTCAGGTCGCTCAAAAGAGCGACCTCCAGGTGCCACTACACGGCGCTGCGTCTTGAAAAGCGCAAAACGAGAAGTATGTCGAGAGTTGGAGGCCTGGGGACATTTAACCCCCCCCCCCCCCCCCCCTGCCCATGAATAAAGCGGTGAGTCTTTCATAAATAAACACCCTTCACGGAGCACGCTATGGTGTTACTGAAACCGAAACTTGCGACCCGGCTTGTGGGAAAAGAAAACCCGGCACTCCACGGGGCCCAACCGGCTGAATGCCACTCCCGTCCGCGCGCAACCAGTGGCCCTTCGTCGCGCTGTTTTAATGCAAAACATTCATTGGCTAGGCTTTGGTCTTTTCGTGAAGCCTGGTTAAAAGCGTGACTGCGAGGCTCGACACTGTTGGAATGACAGTTGGGGGGGAGTGGGGAAGAGGCCACTGCATTAAAAAAGTATTTGTGGCAGGCGGAAATCGAACCCGGACCATTTAGATTATTAGAAAATCAGTAGATTGTTCCGATACCTCCGATAACGATACGATGCATGCGCAAAGGCGGCGGTGGAGTATCCGGTATCGTTACCGGATTCACCCGAACAATCTACTAAAACCCTCTATTAAGCGAGCGTCTTTCAAGCATCGTCACGATGCATCACCGTGCACTGAGGAGCCGTCTGACAGGAAAGCCCGGCAAGGCATCCGCTCTGTGTCCGGAAGATCTGAACATGAAACGCTCTCACACCTTTTCAAAAACCCGGGTTAGTGCCAGTATCTCCATTCCAGGAATTGCCATAGAATGTACATGCCACACGTTAAGTCAGTCGCTAAACTAACCGACAAAGAGTGCAGACACATGCAACGCAATTGCCCGGCAATTTGCTACGTGTCCTTTTTAATTTCACAATTACCTGCACTTGAGCTTGCGCCTGAGCCTGTGCCTGGGCCTGGGCCTGGGCCTGCGCTTGTGCCTGAGCCTGCGCCTGAGCTTGGGCCACGGCAGCCGCCGCCGCCTGCTGCTGCTGCTGCTGCCCGCTGTTGCTCTGCACCGTGGTGGCGCCCTGCTGCTGCCCGCTCGTCGTGGTGATGGTCGTGTCCCCGGAGGTCATCACCATCTGGGTGCCGGCCCAGGACACTGGGGTGGCCTGCTGCTGCTGCTGTCGCTGAACCACCTGCTGCTGCTGGGCGGCCGTGGGCGTGGCTGTTACTTGGATCTGCTGAAGCTGACCTTGTGCCGTGAGCTGCGCAAAGTCGGGCCACGATGCCATCGGAAAACAGGAACGACAAGACTACGAGGCATCTCGGGTGAGTCGGGTCTTCGTGCGTGGAGGAGCGTCGGGCGCTCCTCGCGAGAAAGGAACGCCGTTCTTTGGCCCGCGCGAATTAACTGCGCGTTGCGGGAAGGTCACACTTTGCGAGAATGTGGCGCATTAGCGGTTAGGATAGCGCGGAAAAGTTGGGAGAATGCGGCGTTACCCAGATCGAAAGGTGATCGGAAAAGATGAAATTTCGGCGCGAGCTGACGTCCACCTAAGCCCAATATCGTCGAAACGAGTACCAAGATTGTGGATGCACGTGGCATGTGGGATTTTTTTTCTGCTGCACGTCGCACTTACAATGTTTTTCTTTGCCGCAAGAAAAAAAGCTATGCATCGCCAAATGTTCATTCTCCACCCAAATGTAAGGCGCTAGAGCTCCGAACCAGATGGCACAATTTCGGAACCAACCTTCATCTCATTCAAAAGTCACATACAATCTTTTTTTAATTTTCAATGGGAAAATGGCGGCCAATGGACCTCTTACAATATAGGGAGACCTATGGGATTAGATACCAAAAACAGGCAAAAATGGGCCCCGTTTTCCCATTGAAATTTTAAGAAAGTCACTTATACCTTTTGACTCAGACAATGGTTAGGGCTGAAACTTTGGCATCTGGTTCGGACATCCAGTGCTACATTTGAGCGGAAGATGAGTGTCCTATATATATGCAAACTTCGGGTCAATAAATGTTGTTGCTAGTTGGAAGTCTTCGTTGTCCGTCCCCCCTTTCTATGTATCTTCCTCATGTCTAATTACCGTTACCAACACGCTCGTTTTGTACTTAAAAAAAAACTTTTTTGGGGAGGACATTTTGTATATTAAAGAAAGACACTTGTCAGCCTCTCTTGCTGACAAGTTTTCGTTTTTTCTGGAATAGATCCCGCAGTAACTTACAATCTCGTTTCGACGATATTAGGCTCAGGTGGACGTCGGCCGACAGAGAAACTTCGTCTTCCTTTTTTTAGGGGTAAAGCTCCTCAGGGTCTATACTTCGTCTCACCTTAGCATGGACTAACTGCGAATGCTGTGCTAGCGCGAGCGGCTGCCCTTGGCTTCCTTGACTGGAGCACTCGTTCAGCCGCCGAGGCTTCATTCGAAGCAACTAGCTCGCGCTTTTAGCACGCGCGGTCAACAATAGTCCATACAAAGGTGAGACGAAGTATAGCCTTGTCCGTCCGGCGTCCGTGTTCACATCGATCTTGCTCGTGCTCGTGAGCTCACGTGCTTGTGTAAAGCAAAAAAAAAGAAAAGATGAAAAGAAAAAATTTTTCCGCAGTCGACAGGATTCAAACTTGTGCAGGGGGACCCCAATGGATTTCTAGTCCATCGCCTTAACCACTCAGCCACGACTGCGGGACGAGTAGGGGGCTCTGAGATGTGGTAGTAACGCAAGAGCTGGGGTTTCTGTCGTGGATGAAACGTTGCATGTGGCCGCTCAACGTCTAAACAGGAGAGGGCGCTGCGGTCAAATGCGTATATAATCGCGTTAAACTTTGCATGCATTGGCTCAACGTTTATAGACGAGAGGGTACTGCGGTCAAATGCTCAAAAGCGTATATAACCACGTTCCATACCACACATTCTCTTTCTGACATGGATGAAAACGAACGAAGGGCTCGGCATGCTGCGGCTCACCGTCTACGCAGACAAGCACCACCAGAGCTTTGCCCCAATCAACATCATTGACCACGTGGAAATGCGGTAAAGTTTTTTACCACCTTGATCCACGCAACATCATGTTCTCAAACTTTTGTGTTTTATCCCAACCCCTGGCATCACATTCTCACAGAGTTGCAGCTTTTCTCAGGAATGCACGGTGTATATTCATCATTTATTCGCAAAATTTTACGAGCACCAAAGCACAATAGCAAGAGGATGTGTTTAATAATCACACCGACTATTCCATGAAAGTAGCGAATTTAGCAACACTAGACACCATTATCACTATACTCCAGAGCCAATGTTCGCTAGAACTAACATTTTCTAGTATTCTTCCTTGCCACAGACTATATATTTGATTAAAATGCCCTTCGCCGTGATATTTTTCGCGGCAATTATTCGAAGCTTTCCGGGATAATCACACATTCTAAAGGCCATTCGTTTCTGGCGTTCTGTCTTGTTTTGTAAATGCCCTTCTGATTGTGACGATGCAGTACAATTAACAGACTGACAATTGTTCATGGTTACAACGTATTTGTATTGTTGTTTGTATTTAACATTTCTTGTGCCAGTTCACCGAGATGCAAAACAGTGAATGAGATCTTTTTATGCAGTCCCAGCAGTTATTCTTTCGCAATTTTGTACCCCACACCCGCAAGGGGTTAGTCAAATGGCTTGCCAATATATGTTCTAAATATATAAATAAACATATAAACAAGGCACCAAAGCCACAAACAGCATACATCACCAGCACATGGCAAGAGAGCTGTCAAGGTTACTCCGGAAAAATAATTACAGTAATAGACTTCAGTAAAGTGGTAAGCTGGGCGAGTTAGTAAATGTTGCACATGATGAAAAATTGCGCACAAAGAGACAAGGACAAAAGAGGAAGGAACGCAGAACACATACAGGCACATACTCACAACTCTGGTATATTAACTTAAATAAGAAAAGATGAAGGAGGATTCAGTCATGACAGGGGACAGCGGCACCAGGAGTACAGCTCGGTCTCAGCCAAATGATCGCAAAAAGCCAACCTCTTTTTCACTCAATGCAATTGATGGCCGTTGAAAGAAAAACAAACGAGCGAGGTGCTTGAGATGTTTACCCTCTCTGGTTTGGCCGATTGCTGCTTTAGTCGGCCGTCGGTTGCTTTGAGTGAAAATGAAGTTGTCCTTTTGCGACCACTTGGCTCTGACTGAACTGTATCCCTGCTGGTGTTGGTGTCCCCTGTCATGTATGAATCTTGCTTCATCTTTCCTTCCTTAACTTAAACACTCAACCAGAGTTGTGACTAATGCAAGCAACTGTCCGTGTTCCTTCCCCTTTTGTCCTTGTCCCTTCGCGAGCGATTTTTCATCATGTTGAACGACTTTATTTTCGCGGGCTAGACATTTTGCTGATTATGCCAAATCTGGGCCCAAACTTTCACTACCGAGAGTGGTACACTACGTATTCATTACCACAGGGTAACAAGATATTCCCGAATCCATTTCTTAGAAAATTTGAGACAATTAAGCTATATACATAGCTAAGCCAATGAAACGCATTCCGCGTCAAAGGTGAAGGCACCGTGTTCACCTGTGCCATCTGGGGCTGCATCTGCGCCAACTGCTGCACCACCTGCGCAGTGGCCAACTGTTGCCCCTGCGCCGTCAAGACGTTGCCCTGGGGTGCCATTGCCTGCATCGTCTGCACGGGCACGTGGATCGTCTGGTACACCGTCTGCCCGTTGCCCGTAGAGATCGGGACCTGCACAAAACAGGAGCAACGTCAATCTAGGTGGAATCCAATCCGTAGTCGATGAACGGGCTTGGCCACCACCGCTGCTGCGCCGCAGCCAGAATCGCATCCGGCGGCGGCGTAACAGTTTTACGTCGTCGTCGGGCGGAAATGGAGGGAGCGCTTTTGGGGACGCAGTAAACGTATCAGTCGGAAGTCAAGTTCCAGACAGCGTACCGACGCTTGTCAACCTTTTCCTTCGTCTTCCCCGTTTGTTAGCACTTGAGCAATTCTTCATTGGCAGCACACTTTTCCACGATACGTGAGAGCAGGCTCGTTCGACACATTTTAGATAACACTGAGTGCCTTTAGCACTCAATGTATGCTGTCATCGTTATGTGTTATTCCTTGCTACGTGTATATTGGTGCATCAATGAGCGCGTTTCTCTGCGTTACATTTTCGCAGGGCTGGTTTCATGTTGTTCTATGCCTTGCTGCAGGCTGCGAGTGCTTTTACTTAATGTTCTGTGACGCCCTTTGTTTTTCTTCTTTTTGCCCCTCCCCCACTATAATGCCTTCACGGGCGCTGTGGGGTACATGTAATAAATAATAAAATAAACAAAGGCTGTAGTGCCAGATTCTCTATGTCCCCTACTGGAGGCGACCTACGAGCAGAGATTGGCCACAAGAGCTGCGTCGGCAGGCGGCTCTCGTAACCAATCAATTTTTAAGCAACACTCTTTCATAACGGGAAGTGCATTACAGGGAACTGTAACCAATATCTCCTCAAGCAACTCCTAAGAAAGAGAAACAGTGAGCGAGGTATTGCGCGACCTAAATACAGCCGAGGCAAAGAGAATTTTTAATGCGGAATGTATTATGTCGCTGGCAGCTATGCTCTGTGTCACTAGTGTGCAGTTAAGGCGAAGGCCTCACCGGGCGAAGAGAGAAAGGGCGAGCACAAGGAAGGCGGGATGGGAGGAGGGCAATGGGAGAAACAGAGCACTAGGAATGTTTGAGGAGAGGAGGTTTCTCTCCTCCTCCCCAGTCTTCCTAGTGCTTGGCCTTCCTCCCCCCGCCTGGTGTTGCCTTCGGTTGTACTGCACGCAACTAGTGACACGGAGCACAGCCATATGCGGTTAGGTGCCAGCAACGGAAGCCTCATGCTCTGTCTACTGTATCTCACGCCCCAACAAGTCGAGAAAGTTGCATTTACACCGCGACTGCGGAAGACGGCGCCCGCCATTATGCATCGACGGAGCGCTCACGCGCTTACCTCGCACAATATGGGGCTGCTTTGCAACGTCCAGCCTCCGCAGTTGCACACAGTGTCTTTATACTAACGCATAACATTCTCCTTTACTACTGCCTTTGCCACGCTGGTACAGCAAAGGGTAGGCTGCCTTTAAAGCCGAATTTTGTTCTCACCAAAGCTAACTTGGATTTTCTGTCCGCGCAGAGGGCAGCAGAGTAGGCTGCCCGCCAAACACCCATGCCGCCAACCAACCGCTCCTATTCGCACACGTCGCTTGTCAAACGGGGGGCCGCAAGTAACTTTGCGGGACGATCGCTGGCCTCAGCCAGTGTGCCCGTTGATTCTTTGCATCGTCACAAAAACACAAGGCGGAATTAAGAGGGACGACCCGGGGACGTTTCAACACAGAGCGACAGTTCTGGAATGGTTTCATTGACAGACGAAAATAGAGCTGCCAATCTTGCCAACTATGCTTCTCGACATAAAAAATAATGCTGAAATCGCCGTTGTCGCTACGCTTCGTTGTCTTCGGAGAGCCGGTCCGTTCTCCCGGGCATCGGCGATTTCGAAAGCAGCCGCTACAGCTTCCCTCGATCGCTGCCCACGGTCCGCCTACTGTCGTCTTCGAAAAGCCAGCCTTTCCTCCCGGGTGTCGGCGGCTTCGCGCAAATGGCGTCGTTGCTGCGCCTCGGTGTTACATTGTCGCTTACGTTGCCACATGCTGGGGAAACGAAACCATGTGCCTTCTGCCCCGGTGCTGTCGTAAGAGAAGTGTGCGTCAACACGACAGCGTGCGTAATTGAAAAGGTGCGAGAAGACTTTTTCTCTTTTGTACGCAAGAGGAAAAGCAGACGTAACGGGCAAACGAACGGAGCGAAGGAGCACTGCGGGGACCGCGCCCCAACCTCGCGAGACTGGTCGCGACTAAACCGAAGACGGGGCTGCATGCACCCGGGCAATAAATGTTAACGCATTTAAAATTAACATGGAACACGTGTTCAGGATAGGGAAGCGAAGTGCCCAAATAGACGCGACTCCGACGAAAGTGGCCTCTCAAAACAAAAAAAACCTTACCTGAATGGGTATGGTCTGCTGCATGGGCGCCGCAGCTGCGATGGGAAGCTGCAGCGTCTGCACCATGTTCCCCTGGCGGATGGCCACGTTCTGGGTGAAGCCCGTAGCCTGAGGCCTCAGGAAGCCCTGATTGGCCAGCAGGGTGGGCCCCGCCCCCGTCAGCTGGATCGCCTGTGGGCAACAAGGAAAAAGGGGTGGCGGCTTAATTCGGAAAGTCTGCACAATCAGAGAATGGTTGACCATTGTGGCCTCCATTTAGATGATTTCAACTTTTTCTTTTTTTAACCCTTTAACTGACGCCGCCATATATGTGCGGCAGCGATTGCACGTTGGAAAGTGCCTGCCTAAACAAAAACTGCACGCACCGTGAGAGGCGTTGCTATTTGCAATGTCATTCGCAAACCATAAACGTTACATTTGCAGAATCACGTTTTGCCGGCAGCAGTGGCAATTGGAGTGTCGGGTCTCCCGATGCAGACTTTTAACGCTTCTCAGTATTTAGTTCAAAGGATGAGGACTTGCCACCCAGTGAACAAGCATTGCGAAGTACCTCCAGTTTTTAATCTGAAAGCAGCAGAATGTCGCCGAAACAGACGCGCTAAAATGAAACCAGATGGTTGAAACACAACGCTTTTCCCCTTCAATATTTTCATTTGGTGCTTCCGAACCTGAACAGCTTGAAAGCACTGTACGTGCTCCCGCTAGAAAATTAAGGAACACCCCTGCATTGACCCCTTCTTTATACTATTTCTTTAGAAACAAAATGCAACAATAAAAAAACATCTTGAAAAAAAAAAAAAAAAAAAGCTCGACAATAGGGAAACATTTTTTGGGAAGAAAAACTTGACCGTCAAAAGTTTAAGGGTTTAACTGCACCACATATTGTAAAGGATGGGCCAACATATATCAGAAAATACAGGCTTAATCGGGAAATTTGTGCCAGAAACAAAAGAATGAGCGTCAAGAAAGCAGCAACGAGCGTTGGTAGCAAGTGTCGAGGTGTCGGCATGACAGCTGCACGAGAGTAGGGATGCCGCAAACTTTTTTCGAATCGAAGTTTCGATGATCGAATCAAGCGGTTCGAAAGGTTCGAAAGATTTCGATTTTTCGAATTGTCTATATCGTAAAATTCGACGGAGGTCGAATTTTCGAACTTGTTAAGCTAAGAAGTTCGACGCTTTTCGAACCGTCGAACTTATTACGCTAAAAAGTTCGATCTTTTTTGAACTTTCTAATTTATTGCGTTGCAAGGTTCAATGCTTGTCGAACTTTCGAACTTGACTGACCAAAAAATTCGATGAATTTCGAACTTTCGAACTTATTCATCAAGAGAATTCTAAACGTTTCGAACTTTCGAATTCTGAAAAGTCAGAAGTTCGACGAACTTCGAACTTTTGAGTAAAAGTTCGACGTTCGTCGAACTTCGAAAGACCGGACACGGTTTCATTTGATTTCAAGTAGTGGGGTACATTCGTAATTTTTTTTTCTCGAACTTTTACACGCGGTGCTGCGTTCCTTACGAAAGACAATGTCGTTTATTTCAATGTTCTGGCATGCTTAGGTTTAAAGAAATAAATCCCCGAAGGGGCGAGGAAGGACGACGGGTTTTTGACGATTATCGTTTGTGCCAGATTTGAAGGACGCTGCAGCCGGAGCTATTCATGGTAGATAAGTTATACTTTTTTAAGAATGATCTATGTATAGCCTAGGTAAGTGCCGTCTTAAGATGTGATTATTGTTATCCAACGCGAGTTTCGAAGAAATGTCCAAACATGTATCTGCATGCAATTATGACCTAAACTTGATATTTATTTTCGTCTAAGTTGTTTGAGGTATCGCATTTAAATTAACACCACAGACAGTACATATCACTGCCATCTGCAGAATACAAAATAATATATTTATTGTTTTTTCACGTTAAGGAATAAATTAACTCATGGGAGAAGATTTCTAGTAGTGTTTAAGTTCAGCACGTCATTAAAAGAAAACTTTTTTTTTTCGCTTCACGTTCCTGAAACGTGTTTCTTTTAGCCTGTACACATTTTGGTAAAAGAAACTTGTTTCGAAGCTCTGAACCTCTGAATATGCAAGAATAGAACACTTCCGACGAATTCTTGATAGTTTTTTTTTCTCCTGCTTTTTATTCCCGCATTTATTCTTTTTTTTTTTTTTTTTTTCTTATGTTACTATCGGCACAGGTGTTTAGGTCGAAAAGACAGCTTTGAACTTCCGAACCACTAAGCATGTGACGAGCAGTGCCTTCTGACAACGAGTTTCTAACAATGACCATCTACGCAACCTTTTATGCAGTGAAGAGCGACATTAGCTATACATATGCATAAATAATTTCAGATTAAAATAAGCTCGACCACGCCCTCTTTCCCCGTATTGTTTTCTTTAACAGTCGGAAATACCTGCAAGGGGGAGAAAGAGGCTGAAGCCCCCCCCCCCCCCCCCCCCCCCCCCCCCCCCCCGCTACCCTCCTTCCCCCCGTTTTTCCTCTTCCGACGCCACTTGTATGGTAGAACGCTCCTCGACCTCGAGTTGTGTCGGCTTTTGCGCTTTTTGCGAGGCGATTCCTCCGTCCCAGAAAATAAACCTCCAGGACAATTATAAACTTCACCGGATCGGATTACTACCAGCGTGCAAGGGGTGGCGAGCTAGTTTGCCAGGTCGCTTCACGGTTTTTCTGAGCCTCAACCTCCTGCTCCCCCCTGGCCGTTTCGAACTGGAAGAGTCTAGTAAAACAGTGTGTTCGTGCAATCACTACTGCGTGATGCAGGTTAAACCCCCCCCCCCCCCTCCGGGGCTGGCGGTCACAATTCTGCACTGGCAAATATTCTAGCACGTCCGGGACACTCGTCGTCTCATTCAATTGCCTGACCAACTTCGCAGAATCTAGATATCACACCCTAACTTTTCTAAACTTGATTTTGTGAAAACCAGTGAGTCGTGAAAACGTTATTTGAAACTGAAACTGTGGAAAAACTTGAAAATCGGACTTCGAACTTTGAAAACTTGGATTAAAAAAAATTCAAAATCTTCGAAGTTGTTTTTTTTTGAATTTAGCGTTAAAAGAGAATCGAAACCTTCGAACTTTATGCAAAAAGAAATTCGAAATCTTCGAATTGTTCGAACTTCATGTCTATAAAAATTCGGAGCGTTCGAAGTTTTCGAATTTTTTTTACAAAGAATTTCGAAATCTTCGAATTGATCGAACCTGAAGTAAAAAAATATTCGAAATATTCGAATTCGAAATTTTAGAAACCGTGAAAGCTTTGAACTTTTCGATTTCGAAACTCCGCTGTGGACAAAAGTTGCGAATTTTTCGAATTTGAACCTCGGTCGGTACGAAAATATCGAAATTTTCGAAATCGAACCTCAGTTCGCTTCGCAAATATCGAAACCTTTCGAAATCGAATCTAGGGTGGTTCGCGACATCCCTACACGAGAGTGAGCCAGCAAGGTCACGCTGGGCTCCTTATCTGCACACTCGAGGTCTCAAATATTCGGCCTAGAAAATGAGGTCTCAAATATTCGGCCTAGAAAATCAGGTCTCAAATATTCGGCCCAGAACGTTCAAGCGTCAAACACTCAGGAGAGTGACTTGGCAAGGTCATGTTGGTCTCCATATCTATTACACTCAATCTCAAACATTCTAGGAATGTTTCAGCGGCAAACTTTTGGGGTAAGACTAAACGCAAATCTTCCGTATGGAGTAGCGTTCCCTCTCGGCCATACATGCGGTAATGTCGTTCGGCTCGCCTCGTGCGACGGTGCATTTGCGCCGAGGGTACGCTCGAGAGACAGACGCCGCTTGCCTGCTGGTGTCCTCCCGTAAAGGACGCGGGGATGAAGATGGCTTCCTGGCCGTCGATCTGGATGTTCTGGATCTGGGGCATGGCGTTGTACGTGATCTGCCCGCTTGGGGTCATCTGGGCCACCAGCTGCGTCCCGGGGGAGAACACCGCCTGCTGCGCCGCCTTGACGGCTTGAGACGTCGTCGACACCTGTCGAGGAAGGCGGCCGAATCGTTGGCAAGACTCCTCTACGGTCTGAAACGGATCTCACGCGATCGAACGATGGACCAGTTGCTCTCGGTCGGGGGTGCTGCGACCGAGGGTGATTACGACAAATCGTCATCTCGTGGGATCAAAAAGGAACCATACAGAAACTGAAACTAGATTGTCGAATCCAACCACCGGTTACATTGACAACAAGGACAGATCGCTCAGACTTTTGCGCAGAATTTATTTGGCAGATCACCGCTGTCCTAACTGAAACCGGATCACCCGACGTCATCTTGCCACTCACTGGTGCTAGGACTGGGAACAAAATCGACCGCACTGTCTCTCAAAACGCGATACTTCAAACGGCTTCCGAGGAGGCGCGCCACGCAAGGAAGACGTGTTTGCACCGAGGAGCGCTCTTCATTTGCTGCGTGCTTGGTTACAACTAATTTCCGTCTTGTGGGAAAAGGAAGAACTATGCAGAACCTGAAACTCAGGTGTCTATCCTAGCCACCGGATGTTCAGAAACGATTAAGAGGCCTCGCAACGGGGCTTGCAAATCGTCAACCGGGGACGACCGATCCTGTTGGGCGCTCAAGGAAAGAGTTGACAACCTTACGCGAGCACAAAAGAGATGCTGCACCCTCTGCTACAGCTGTGGACAAGATTAGAATGGCTAGAAGTCTCTTCCAAATGCCCCGAGCCCGCGCTTGTTGCCCTCCGTCGTGCTCTGGCTCTGCGCGCTCGCTCAAAGCTCGTGAGAGGCCAAAGTGTTATAAAAGCTAAGACTCTCGCTGTTCTCATTCTGTGGGCGAGTACAGCAGATTATTATTATTACTATATCTCTATACTGTCCTAGTCATGTCATGTCATTGTCACGTCATATTGTTATAGTAATATTATTACTATAACTACTAAGTGTTCATTATTATCATTATTGAACATTTTTGTTTTGCGTTTTCAACTTTCGTGCATAATTTGTAGTGTGTGTACGTTTCACTGCACCAGCACGAAGGCCATGTGGTTATTCCTGGACACTCTATTCTCGATAATTAATATTATTATTAGAGCAAATCATTAATTTTATTATAATTATTCGTTTTGGCCAGCCTGCCAGCCGCGTGGCAAACCCACCTGTGTGACGGTGCCGTCCTGGTTGAGGATGCCCACGGTCTGTGGGGCCGCCTGGACGTACTGTGCCACCAGTTCTCCAGAGGGCAGCACCGTGGCGGTGGTGGCCTTGGCAGGCGAGGTGGCGCCGTTGCCTGCGTCGCCATTGCCACCGTCGCCGCCGCTGCTTTCGTCCGCCGGAGAGTCCGTCGGGGAGCCGATCTTGCTGCACGTGGCCGCAAGCAGGGCCAAGGGGGAGGGCTGCACTTCCTGAGGGAGAAGCAGACGTTGGGCGTGCGTCCGACAAGGCATCCACTATACTCCGAGCGAACTTTCCCGTGCAACACTGGCGAGGCTAGCCTAGTGCCAGCAATGCTTACGCAAGTTAAGGGCAAAGAAAGACGGCGGAATATGTCTTCCCTTTCTTTCCACTTCATAACTACTTCTTTTGCAGCACTAGGAAAGATGTGGCTTCCCACTATGTTCTGTAGAAAACCTACCAACTTAGCTATGCTGTGTTTTGAACATGTCTTTGAATGATGTGATTAGCACCCTTTTCATCCAGGGCATCAGTACCACAAGAGCTGCATTGTCATTAAGAGCAGCATCAGAGTGTCATCTTGAAACACATGCCCTTCTGACATGCCACGTCACAAAAGCTACATCAAAGTGACGTTAGTCTCCTGTGACACTCATCACTGTCACGAAACAATATATCCCAACAGCCGCCTTGTAATGCTATGGGTGGTCGTGGCCCTGGCAGACGGATGTAGAAGTGCTAGCAAAGAAGACGAGCAGACTCAAGAATCACTCTTTCCGAGGTAATTGCAACCCATGACTGCTGGAAACTGCCAAGGATCGCACACAAAAGTGTGACGTAACCAAGCGGAACTTGTGGACGAGTAAAGAAAATAACGACCTCGGTATTGACAGAACCACATACATGCTGTCTCCCTTCTACTCATCAGGAAGGCGTGATCACTAAAAAAAAGTGCTGGAGTACAAATGTAGAACCTGGAACTCACTGCCTGAAGAAATAATCGACACAACACCTGCCACCTTGTTCTTCAACAATGTGTTAAATAATAATTTATAAAATTGATGCTATTGCTTTCCACATTCGAGCAGCTGTGCACCCCTCTTGCATTTCCAGATTTTTGTTCTTTTTTGCGTTCTCACTTCTCAAGGATTTGCATTTTGTATTTTTCTCAAATGTATTTGTACCCCTCCCTTGCAATATTGCCTCCTTTAAAAACCACCAAAAATAAAATTTTACGTTTTTTTAAATAGTTTGATTGGGACACACATATCAAGAAATAAATTTTACGGGAAAAGATTTATTTTAAATTTTGCGCGCAAAGTCCATGACGTCACGGAATGGTCATACGCTCTTTCCACCTCAACGAGATGGTCATACACTCTCTCCACCTGGATCGGCTTGGCCTGGAATGGCCAAGCCGATCCACCTCTTCTCCACGCGCACGAAATGCAGAGAGAAAACAAGTGGAAAGGAGGTGACTACCAACTAAATTGTGTCTCGCGCCATCAATACTGCTCAAAAAAAATTTTTTTTTTTTGTTTTGCGTAAATTTTATTTTTTGACACACGTATCCCAACCAGACTGTTTTAAAAAGAACATCTTTTCTTCTCAGTGGCTCTTTAAGGTGATGTGAGGTATTCTGAATAAATAAATAAATCAATATAATGCAGTAAACAAGTCGTACATGCACATTTGAGGCACTATGCACTGCTACGCTCCAGAGAAATGTCACTGCAGCCCCACTGTTGGGCAAAGAGCTGCCAGTTGACAGCAGCTTTCAATGGTGAGTCTAGTCACAGAGGATGCACTTTCTGTTGACCTTCTTGCTACAACAGTTTGTAAGCAGACCAAATATTGCCAGAGCCTCCTAAGGCCGCACATAAACCTAAAAGAGCCTTTGACTGTAGTCAATGGCACACACGCAGACCTCGGCAAAACAGACACGACACCACGAGACATTAATGGCATTGCACAAGGCAGACCAAATATTTCGATAGCCCAAAGGGAGCTCTTGGGCGACTCTTAGCACCACGGCATCCAACTGGGAGATACGAATGTTTGAGGAGACAGAGAACCCAGGAAGCGCTTCGTGAATGCGGTCTTGTGCCGTGGCCAAATGTCCCTATAGCTCAGGGTCACTACTTTCCCCCATTCTTAACTTGCATCCATTTCTCCACATCCTTTCTTTCTCCATTATTTTTCCCTATTGTTTATCCGGAGATGAGTCACACCCAAAAACAGTTTGTTAGCAGAACCAAAGGAGGCACAAGGGTGTAATGGATAAGAATGAAGAAATAAAGAGAACGAGGATACCATAAAGTAGAGGGCAGAGGTTATTCTTACAAAGGTGCAGAACCAGTTTTCCCGAAAACGGAAAAGAAAACGGGAAAGGAGAAAGAGGAAACGGGTACTTTCATTCATTCACTTACTTACTTTGAGAGCCCCACAAACAGTCTATAATAAACTTTATCGACACCTCTTTACTTCGGGGAGCATGCACATATAACAGCCACTCTCCATTAATACGCCATTATTTTATGCAAGATAGTTTCACCAACACTTAAGGCTGCGGTACCACGGCGGCCATCTTGAACAAAACATTAGTTGAACCACCAGGGCGGCGTTGGCTGTCCGTATGAGCAAATGCTGCAAAACCTGCGCGCCAATTTCGAAACCCTTTTTCCCGTCGCTTGCGACCTTGAGTTTCCTTCTCCACTCTTACGCCCCTCCTTTCACGTGTTCACCCTCTGGCGCGTCGCGCCCACGTTCATTGTTGGGAGGACAATGTACCGGATAATCCCCAACTTGAGGCCCCCTGCCAAAATTGTCCGGCTGCCAAGTGATTTGAGCGAGATGGGGTTTTGAAGCGGTATGGAAAAGTGGGACCGTCAATTTTGAACTATGCCTTTTCGATACTGCATTAGTTGTGTACGGGGCTGGCCAAGGCACGGGCGCGAGGACGTAACTGTATACAATGCTTGGGTTGCAGGAGCACTCGCGCGTAGAAATGGTAGGACGCGCTTTCTGAAATCACACGCCTACATTCCGCAGCGTTGCAATCCTACGAGTAAAACAGAGTACATCTTCGGACAGTGCGTGAGTTGATGCCGGCCGTACGAAAGACACACCTCGCGCTTCCTGTCACTACTGCCTCTGCTTGCACGCGCTGCCGATTGGCGGTTCTTTCTTTATTTTGTTTCGTCGCTCTTTTGAAAATACTGAAACTAATATTTTCTCAGACCCTGCTCATCGTACCTCTGCACTACAGTTGTGTAAACACGTTGTGATGTAATTTGAGATATGGGACGGAGTGTCTACATTCTTATTTCGTGTGTAATGCCGGCATAATATTCCTTTGCTGCCAGAGGGTCAAAATAATGGTAGGGTCGGCAGCAAAAACTATTTCAATGACCGAATTATGATCAAACACCAGTAAGAACATAAAAAAGAAATCACATGGGGACAATAAACATATTGCTACAAGAGGATGGTGCGTGGGGCACAAAAAATATTCGGAGTGACGTTGAGGGCACGCGACAAGCCAGATCTTTCCTGATGGCAGCCGTAAAAGTTGATCTGGTGCCTCGTTTTGATCGGCTTTGCACGGAAACTCGTAAACTACCAACTATCTTGTCAGTGGTGAACATAGTGAGCATGAACTGGATGATTTTTTTGTTGTTGTTTTTGTTTCTGTAGTGAGAGTATGGAAATATGAGACGTCCGCTGACGCTTGCGTCGGCTAGCGGAACCTCAATCGCCGATCGCGGCCGATGTCATGGGCGTATACAAATACATCAAGTCGTCTGGGCGGGAGCAGTTGAAGCGCCGCACTTTTTTGGCCGGTCAGTAGAGACTCCGCGAATTCTGACTCGAGGCTACTCTGTGCGGAGGGAGCCGCTACTGAGCGCGACCAATCGGAAACCAAGGATATCTGAAATTTCCTAATTGCCATGAGATTTGCAAATTCGTTCTTCCCGCCGTAGTAAATTCGTCCGAATCGCTATTCGATTTCCTAATCGATTATTTGGATGAAAAGATATATTTAAAAATTCGTACGTGGCTCACCAAATGGCAATAAAATTGGTATAGGATTTCAAACCTATATAGTGTCGCCCTAATTTACAAACTTGTTTCACTTGAAATTAGAGTACACGCGCAAGCGAGCTGGTGGAAGCCTATACTAAAAAGGCCAGAAACAAGAGAAACAAAAAATAAATAAATAAGAGCGGGATAAGCGCAACAGTCTCAAATCACAGCTGAAAATGGTTACTTGGTAAGTGTAAATGTCCAGACATTGTATTAGTAAAATGTATATATATATATATATATATATATATATATATATATATATATATATATATATATATATATATATAAAAAAAGTCACAAATGCGTACTGTCGGAGTTATTAATTCGAAGTTCATTCCGACGTTTCGAGCGGGGACCGTTCTTCATTAGGTGATGAAGAGTCGTCCCCGCTCGAAACGTCGTAGTAAAGTTCGAATTAGTAACTCTGACAGTACGCATTTTTGCCTTTGTATATATATATATATATATATATATATATATATATATATATATAGAGAGAGAGAGAGAGAGAGAGAGAGAGAGAGATAGAGAGATAGAGAGATAGAGAGATAGAGAGATAGAGAGATAGATAGATAGATAGATAGATAGATAGATAGATAGATAGATAGATAGATAGATAGATAGATAGATAGATAGATAGATAGATAGATATTTTTCACTATTTGCTGACGGCCGAAACTAACTATGCAACACAACAAGTAAAACCACAGAGCTGCCCCGCCTCATATCACCCTCAGTTGGAGCTCGACTGACACATTGCGCCGATCAAGCATCACCAACAGCTCAACACCTAAACGCCACGGCGTTCACTATCTTTGTTTGGGTGATTCCACCCACTAATGTAACAACTCATACAATGCGCCGTGATAAAGTGCTTTTTGTCTTTGTGTATGTGTTTTTGTGACATCTAACCTCTGTTTGCGCTCTGACTAAGAATGAAACCATGTATACTAAAACGGGATACGGTCCATTCGTCACATGCGCACTCGTCACAGGACGATTGGTCACAGGACGATTCGTCACACAGGAACATTCGTCATAGGATGACTCGTCACGCGGCCAACCGGTCCTACAATAGTTCGTCCCCCCAAAATGTGTCGTTCAATTTGGTTCCAGCGGACGAAGTGGCTCACCTCATATT